GATTACAACGGAAGCATTAAAAAAGAACAGGATAATTAAAGTAAAAGAGATAGAAATTCTAGGGGAGTCCTAGTCTTCGTCTTCGGTTTCCTCCTCGTCGTTGTCGACGTCCATCTCATCCCCATCGATGGCATCGTCGAACTCGTCTTCATCCGGGGAGCTTGACGGGGCGTAGGAGTCATCGGCTTCGTCTTCGTCACCGTACACTTGCCCAAAGAACGTGCCGTGGTACGGTGGGGGGACGTAGTTGATGCCTTGGAAGTACGAGTTCATCGCGTATCCTTGGCGTTGAACAGCCACGTCGAGCCGTTCAAGGTAGCTCCCCATCCCGTCAACCTTGAGGTGGAGCTGGTTGAGGGAGTCGGCGATGGAGGCGAGGTTGGCCCGGGCCTGGGGTTCGGCTTGGCCAGCGGCAGTGGCAGTGCGGCGTGGCTGGGCAGTGGCAGCCGCGGCGTTGTCCGACCGCTTGAGGAAGGTTTGGTTGCTGATTGTTCAAATCTTCGTGGCCTTCGTGAGCGGACCAACGGTGGTGGTTACCTTGAACCGTTCAAGGATGTCCATCACCAAAAACGGGTACGGGAGGAGGTGGTCGTGCTCGGTGGACGCGGCAATCGTCATGTTGATCATGACAAACTTTGCCCAATTGATTGGGGCCGAATGCATGATCGCATGGATACGCTTGAGGTCTTCACCGTGCATGATGGTGTGGCCGTGCTTCCTCGGTTTGATGATTCGGGTGACGATGTAGAGAACGAGGCGGCCGTCGGGGTTGGCGGAGTGGATGGTTAGGCGTCCCGAGGCATGGCGTTTGAGCTCGGTGATGCCAAGCTCGTTGAGGATAAGGCCCTCGTTGTTGAGCACCCAATCCTCTCCACCATAGTGAGACACATCGTCGCCTTGGAAGGGGAGGCGGGCGATGCGCCCAAGCTGCTCCACTGTGAGCTCGATCGGCGTGCTCTTGACGAGCGAATAGAGCACGTCGTCCTCACGCCGGAGGTTGGAGTAGAAGGCTCGGATCAGTGCCGGGTTGATCTCCTTGCGCGCCCGGGAGACGAACGGCCAAAGGCCGGCTTGATGAAGCTGCGCGTCGAGGTCGTCGTAGCCCTGCAATTCCGGGTAGCGCTCTGGGATGATTCGTGGGGGAGCCACAACCCGTTTGGAGAAAAAGGTGAGAAATCGGGTGCGCTCCTCCTCGGAATTGAACCAGAGGTACGATCCATCGCCGTAGTAGAGGCGTTCCTCGGAGGTCGTGGATGGAGCCCGGGATTTGGACTTGGATTTTCCGGAGGTGCCTGCCCTGTTCTTGTCTTTGCCCATTGTGAAGAGAACTCAAAAAATTAGAGTAGAGAGGATGAAATATGTGAAGATATTGAAGGAATTTGTGTTTGTGTGTGTAAAAGTGAAGAGAGGGGGTCCCAATTTATGGGAAAGGTGGTGTCCAACGGCTTGATTTTTAAAATTATGGCGGTTGGAGAAGTTAATGTTGCAGCCAACGGATTTTTTTTTTTTAAAAAATTTGACCTGAACAGCGATGTTCTGGAGGCGACATCGCTGTTGAGACAGCGCTGGTGGAATTCAGAACAGCGCTGTTGTGCGTCAAAAAAGTGTCAATGGGACAGCGATGTTGGGTACCCTACAGCGATGTTCCAAAAGTTTCTGGAATTGTGTAAGGGTTTAAACCCATTAGAACAGCGCTGTTGGGTTATCCTACATCGCTGTTTTGCGATTGGAAAAAAAATTTGTAAAAATGGACATCGATGTTGAAGGTAAGACATCGCTGTTTAAAAAGTTTCTGGTTTTGGTTGAAAACAAAAAGTTTTGGGAAGACAGCGATGTTTAAAGGGGAACATCGATGTTCAAAAAGTTTCTGGAAAGTGAAGATTGAAGGGACTCCCTGGGACAGCGCTGTTGGCTTGATGGACAGCGCTGTTGGAAAACTTTCTGGTTGAC